GACCTTGTGTGGTCACAGATCCTCAGGAGGGCTGGATGGAGGCAGCTGTGAGGGAGGCAAGGCAGCCTGCTGGGGTGGTGTAGCTCTTCTCTAGCACACAGCCCCCAGGGTTTGCCTCACATTCCCCAATGCTCATAAGGAAGAAGCTGCTGCTCCCTCAGCATATCATATTACTCTCCTGCTTCAACTCCCTGTAATTTCCTGACCCCTGTCAGCTCCACCTGCTTTCCACTCCAGCAGGTTATACACGCAGAGCATGAGGTCCACTCCTTCATGGGAGGAGTGCAAGAAAGTGTGCAAAAGGGGAACAACATATGTAGAAATTACTTCAGAGGGGAAGGTCTCCCACAGTCAACTCAGTGCCTTCTGAGACTGCTGTGACAGTGAAATCTTGAGAGAGGAGGCCTTTCACCTTTCACCAAAGGGGGATGTGTGATTATAGACAAAAGCAGGCACTGACTTTGAGAGGGTGCTGCAGGCTGGAGCCATCCAGCTTCACTATGCAGAAATGACACCATCAAGAGGAGACCATCACACAGCAGCAATGAAACTCAAGGAGATGCATACTAGATGCTCTCAAACCAGGAGGCACTCTAGAAATTGTTTTGGGGCTGACTTAGAAACTGGAACTACTACTACTACTACTACTACTACTACTACTACTACTACTACTACTAATAATAATAATAATAATAATAATAATGTTGTTGTTGCTGTTGTCTTTCCTCATTAAAGACTGAATGGGCTTTATCAGCACTAAAATATGTGCAGACCTTCCATCCAAGACAATATTAAGCAAGACTATTTACTTATTATATTACTCTGTTAACTCTGTAACTGGTTATGTCACCAGAAGTCACATGGCAGACTTAGATTTACTTTCTTCCTCCAGACAGCTAATGTGGAGTGTGCTTCTCTTTAGAACTGATTTTCTCTTCTAATTCTGACTACCCAAACAGTCATTCTGTATCCTTCAGTCTCCAGTCTCCTGGTCTTTGCAGGGGCAGATCCTATAGGGAATTCTAATGCTCATGGTACTGCAAGAAAGAGTCCTCTGCCTCTCAAGGAATCTTGGAAATCAAGGAAAACACTTTGGCCTGGACTGCAAAAGCACCATTGATTCTTCTGGTGCTGAACAGAGATGTCCTCTTGAGGTTGGTGGCAACATCCACAGTGGTGGCTGGGTATTTCATTTGAGGAAGCACTGCCTCTAGGGGATGAAGGACAGCCCATCTTCTACAAGGTCTGATAGTTTGAACTTCATTGGGTAAGCCTTATATGAAACTGTGGATTCCTTACACTCCCCTTCAACTGAAGACTTTTCCCAAATACTGTTTTTCAACAACAAGCCCAAGAGTATGCAGTGCCACCATCCCTGAGGGCCAGCTAGTTTGGTGGTACACGCCAAGGGAACTGTTTTCAGCAGAGCCAGTTTATCGGAAGAAACAGCCCCCCAGCAGCACGGATCAATTGCCCCACACAAGTGACCTGAGGCTCAAAGTAAGTTTATTTTGCAGTTTGGGACAGACAGTAGTGTGAGTCTGAGTTTGATGAGATGACATCCAACACTCTCATGTGCTGCCTCTTGCTACTAGTGAGAGTGGGCCTCAAACAGGTGACATGCAAAATTCACATGAACAGGTGGGATTGGAGAATTAATTTTATTTCCCTAAACAGTACTAGAAATGCCCTCATGATCCCAGTGTATTTGTTGTAACGTAGTAAGAACATGATTAGCATTTAATGCTATTTAACAAATATGCTAATTAATTTAGGCAACAGTAATCAGTACCTGCACAGATTAACAAACTTGACCAGTCAGTGGTGTGAAACAACCATAAGGATATGATATATTAACTCTGCTTTGCATTTTAAGGTTGAATTTGGGCATCCCTTCCTAATACCCTAAGAAGTCTTCTTCCAGAATTGAAGATACATTTGGCTATGACAGGAGTCTCTATTTCTTTATTTTGTATTTGATGCTGAATGACGGGCAAAAAACTAATCTGTTATTTAGGTGCTGTGAGAACATAACAAATAAAATTAATTTCTGATCTGAAACTTCATAATGTCTTTTTTGATCAGGTTTATAAATCATCAAGGCTTTGGAAGAAAAAGATTAAGTGTCTTTGTAAATCCAAATTATTCTGATAAATCCAAAGTAAATAAAGCCAAATATCTACCAGAATAGATACTTTTGGTGACAGTTCCTCTGGACTTGGGGACCCCAGGAATCCTGTAAAGCATCTGCAGAGGTTCCTCTCAACTCCCTCTGGTCCCCAGTTAAGAACTGGGCCAGCCAGGTACCTGTCAGGAGTGGGGTTTACTCTAACAGGGTGTATTTCAGCCCGACCCCGCATGGTGTTTCAAAGCCTGCCTTCTTTGTTGCACTTCTCCTGTGTCCATAGAGCCTTTGATCACAGCACATCTTCCTCCAGCATCTTCTTTCTGCAAACTCTCATTCTTAAGGTCAAACGTTTGCCAGCAACAGCTCCCACACAGCAGCCCTGAGCACAAACGCAGGCTGGGTGCGGAATGGCTCAGGAGGAGCCCTGGGAAGGACCTGGGGCCATTGGTGGATGAGGAGCTCAACATGACCCAGCAATGAGCACTGACAGCCCCGAATGCCAGCTGCATCCTGGGCTGCACCCAAAGCAGTGTGCCAGCAGGGCGAGGCAGGTGACCCTCCCCTCTGCTCCAGTTTGGGGGGACCCCACATGAGGTGTTGCATCCAGCACAAGAATGATGTGAGCCTGCTGGAGCGAGGCAGGGAGGGCCATGAGGGTGATCTGAGGGCCAGAACACCCCTCCCTCCTATGAAGACAGAGTGCTGGGACTGTTCATCATGGGGAAAAAAGGCTCCTGGGAGGTCTTACAGCAGCCTTCCAGTATCTGAACGGGGCTACAAGAGAACTGGAAAGGAAGTTTTTACAAGGGCTTGTAGTGACAGGACAAGGGGCAATGGCGTTTAAATGAAAAAGAGTAGGTTTGTGCCACCCTGTTCTTCTAAGCCTTCTGTTGTTTACATTTTTGTAATGGATTTTCTCAGGCACACTTTCATGTAAATAATGATTATTTTGCATTCTTTTCTGGAGGAAGAGAAAATTGATGGACTGTTGGTTTGACCAGTGTCATTGGAGAGGTAGCAATTTCATCCTCCAATCCAGGGTCACTTTTCAAATTCTGCATATATCAAGGTTGAAAATAAACTGCCCTTCTTTTTTTTACCTTGGAGGTTCCAGCATGTGTGTCATTTTATTTTACGTCCAATTGTGACAGGTTTGAATTCAATATTAGGAAGAAATCCTTTACTGTGAGGGTGCTGATGTACTGGGACAGGTTTGCTCAGAGATGTTGTGGATGCCCCATTCATGGAAGCATTAAAGGTGAGACTGGATGGCACTTGAAGCAACTTGTTTGAGTAGAAGGTGTCTCTGCCCATTGCAGGGGTTTCAAACGATTTTTAAGGTCCCTCCCAACCCAAACCATTCTATGATTCTGTGATTCTATGTGATTTGGCATTATGACTTGAATAAATGAATAGTTATTGAAGGGGGCTTCGAAGGGCAGAAGCTTTGCAGCTTCTCCTGAGCCCCTCTGAGGTAGTGCAGGGCAGGGAGCAGCGCAGGGTGCGTGTTGTGCTCAAGCTGCCCTCCCTCCTCCCCTACTGCCAGCACATGGCCCATCACTGGGGTGCTGGTGGAAATTTCAGGCTGGTAATTGTAATGAGATTTACTCAATCCTGCTGTCTTGTTTGCCCCGTATCACAGGGCATCTCCCAGGATGTACTGTATCTTGAAAACTTGCTTGGCAAAGAGTGACAGCAGCTGTACTGGGGCAGGTCTCAGCAGAAGGGAGCTGCACAAACGACTTGCTGATGAACTTTGATTCACTACCAACGTGTAGCAAGCAAATATTTAAACTCCTGCCATTCAGAAGGGAAACACAGCTTTAGCAAGGAACACTCAGGCAAGGAGTGCTGCTATGATAGTCCTGGGCTGTGCCCAAGAAGGGGCAAGCAGCCCCCTTCCCCTCCTGTTCCACTCCAGCAGAGCAGCCCACCGTGCCCACACCAGGGAAAGGGCAGATGCTCAGACCCCAACAAGTCAAGTGGCTGCTGTACCAAGGAAAGAAGGAGTTTTAAAGCTGTTTCGAGCCCAAACACAAAATAACTGTGGCCATTCCTCCTGCCCACATTGCCTGTGACCTCATACAGGCAGAGGCTGTGACAGGGAGGCCACCTCTGGATTTGGGTGCCTGCTGTGACCAGAGCCCCAGGGCTGGACCCAGCTGCTGGTCTCCTACTGTGGCTGGCAGCCGCATACTGACGAGCCTTCAAGAAATCTATTGGTGTTAGTCAGGTGCAGCAACAGGCCAAGAGGGTATTTATCCCTCAGAGTGGGGCCGAATTAGCTCTTTTGGTCAGTTTATAATTAGGTACCTGCATTTAACAGTATTCTTTCTATTGGATTTTTATAGTTTTGTCTGTTCTTTTTTAAACATGAAAATAATCAGTCTTAAAATAAAATAATTTATAAAAAAAATACCCTGGGAAGTGATCTATAAAAGGAGAAAATCCCTGCCAAGGGAATGCCACAGCAGCGAGCCCAAGCCACAGAAAGCCCGGTTGAAGGCTTCGCTTTGCCGCAGCTTCTCAGAGGTTACCCAGGGTCTGTAAGCAAACAGCTTAAAGGAGCCCGGCTTAGTGCCTGGCTCCCGGGCTGTCCCGGAGCCTCCCGGCCTAATGCCCTGGCAGCAGCCCCTCCCTCGCTCCTGCCCGAGGCGATGTTGGGCAAACAGGGCCAGGCCTCGCCCTGCGCTCCCGCCGCGGGGCCGGGCCGCGCTGGGCTCGGGGGCATCGCAGGAGAGGCCGTGCCACGGCAGGCGGGCGCAGAGCCATGTGCATATAAAGCCCGGGGCAGCAGCCCGGCAGGCTTGTTTCGCACAACCACACCTCGGCTCGCCTGGCAGCACGGCCAGGCGCTGATCCCCGGAGTATCCGAGCGTGGGAACGATCTGCCCATGGGCCCCCGCCGGCTGCTGCTTCTGGCGCTGCTTCAGGCAGGTGAGTAGCACCCCTCGGTCCCTCTGCCCTGCCGTGCCGCCCCTGCCCGGGCACGGCCTCTCCCTGCGCCATCAGCTTTGCTTGCTCCGTGCCAGGACCGCCGTGTGATGCGGCCAAGTGAGGGGGGAAAGTGTCACTAGACAATCCTCAACTTTACAGTGAGGGACAGTGTAAGTGAGCTGCCTGCCTGCCTCACTTCCCAGCCCCAGCTATGGTTTGCATAACCTGTGTAAACACAGGTCCTCTTCTTTTTTAGTAGTTTTCTGCTACAGAGTTGTTAGTGTCCGTGTTCCATTGAGATACCTTCCTTTTATACCAGTGTCCATGGAGTAAGCAGTTTTCATAACATCTGAATTTAAAATAGTTTTTAAAAATTCCGTTTATAAAAGCCATAAATGGCCACTAACATAAAGTCCCTACAGACAAAGGCAACAAAACTCTGAACTGGCACATCTAAGGCTATACCTGCAGTAGAGTTTTAAAAGAAAAAAAAACAACCTCCTACCTCAATTTACAGCAAAGGCTGCCAGTTTAAGCAGGAAATAGTGCTAAGTTGTCAGATTCACCTCTGCTCACCTCTCTGCAGGTATGTTCTCTAAGGTGGTCCATTAGTAGTTTAACTAATGATTGGACATGCTGGTAATGGGACATTTGGCTAGGAGCAGGCTGCTGTGGAGACTCAGACTTTTTCAAGGCTTTCCTGGCTGTGTTGGCTCAGCTGCCTAGCATAGAGAAAGCAATTTCAGTTCTTGGTCAAGTTATTAGCTGTGCACCTGAATATTAAAAATGTACTTGCTAGGGCTGACCTCTCAGCTTCAGCAGCGCACTGCTGGCTCAAAACCCAGACAGCTTTCAAAGAACAGGAACATCAGAGGCTGCCTGGACGCCTCTTGCGGAACACACAGCCCTAAGCACACTAATTGAGTCTTTTGGACTCAATTTCCTTTGGGGCGCTCTCTCCACTTTCATAGCAATTCTGCACTGTAATTACAGTTCCTTGATCTCCAGAGATATCCCCAAAAGAAGAATGGCCTTTCTTCTTCTGGGTGAGGTAAAGTTACCTTACAGCAGCCTGAACCATTTTCAGCCAGTGGCCAACAGGCTAAGCCCAGCAGTGCTGGCTTAAGAGGCCAGTGAAAGAGCTAAAAAAGAAGTCAAGCCGTTTGTCAGAATTGGGATTCCTACAAAGACGTTTTTGTCTCAGCTGGAGTATTTTCAGGGTCAGTAAACTGGAACAGGTTGAAAAATCATGATTTATACCCCCAAATCCAAAGCAGCTCACTACTTGTGATTTCCCCTGAGAGCAAAGCCCCCTTCTAACTCTGGAGCCTTGCTATTTAGACAAGGAAAATAAGTGGTCTCTTTAGTTCTCATTAAAACCCATCCAATGTGTTTTTAGCACGAAACCTGAACACTCAAGTAGTGTTTAGCTGAGCGTGCTTGCTTTTTCAGGAATGTGCATTTAATCCCTGAGGAATGCCCCAGGGAGCAGACTGAGACTATGCTGGACAGCCTGAGGTGTGGATCCCTGGGGTGAAAATGGTGGCACCCTCTCCTACTGGGGGGTCAGGCTGGGAGAGGGAGCAAAGCCCTGCCTTGTCCTTTGTGGGGAGAGACCCTCCTTGTCTTCACTGGCACTTGGATTGGGCTCTGACGGCAAGCTAGCCCAGGAGATGTGGGAAGAGGCCCAAGCAGGGGGATTAGAGGCTAGGTTTTAAAAGGAAAGCAACTGTTTTAATAATAGTATTGAGTCCTTGGGTGGTTTAGAGGATTAATTAGCCCGTGTTTGCACAACACTTTGAAGAGGTCAAGCATGCTGCAATAGCCAGGGGCCGGTGGCAAAGCAACTTCAATGGCCAGTTCCCAGCTCCCAGGAGTCACCTCCCTCTCCGTCCAAGCATGCTGGAAAGCCCCTGTTTGATTTTGGAGTGGCTGTGCATGGGTGGGATGAGCAGATGGGTCAGGCTTTTGGGCTGAGGATTTTAATCCTACCAGTAGAGCAGCGCAAAGTGCATTTGATCCTTCAGTAAATCCAGGCATGAAATGCTCCTGTTTGTCTCTACAGCAGGATAAGAGCAACATTTGCAACTGAGCATCACAGTGGTTTGAGTATTAGGGGCAGGGTACTCTTGGTTTCCATAACAGCTACTGCAAGAATGAGCCTGTGGCTTCTGAAAGAGTTCCAGATTAACATGAGAAATCACGAGACTGATCAAAAGACTTGTAAACTCAAAAATCTCCAGACTGGTTTGGGTGGCCATCCACACACTCCAGCTGACACAGAACTCCTTTCTCCTTTTCTCGCCAAATTAATGTGGCCCACCTGTTAGGACTTAGGTGGAACATAATAATGGAAGCAGATACAAGTGTTGCCAGCACTTCCAGAGTCCCAAGAGAAAGCGGCTGTGCACGCATCTTTGCTAATGGAGGCACTTTGTCCTTGACAAAATATGTACTCTACAGGCTCAGGGGCATGTAGCTGTCCCTCTATGCAGATTAATGGGATTATCAGTATGTTTTGCCACCTGGAAAATGGGTTAAAAGATCCTGAATAATAGAGAAACTTGGATAATGTAAGAAATCTTGAGCAACATAGAAACTTCGTTTCTTTCCACAGAGTCCTGGTTAGGTCTGGTTGCTTGGCTGTACTCTGCTGCTTCATGTCCCAGTCAGGAGCATAGCATAGCTGGAAAACTGTCCCAGGTTTGGGAGCTCTGGGGTGCAGTGAAGCACAGGGGGCCTCCATGGTGCTGGCACAGACCCTGCAGAGCTTGTCAGCTTGGGCTCCTGGCACAGACCCTGCAGAGCTTGTCAGCTTGGGCTCCGTGATGGGCACAACCACGCACACTGCTCCTGGGTGCAACACAGCTGCAATCACACACTAGCACACCAGAACTAGTAAGTCCTGCTTGAATTGAGCTCCTGTGGAAGAAGTAGCATGCTTGAGCATTCCTGCATCCAACTTTTGATTATCCCAGACACAGGCAAAGCTCCCTGCAAGACTACCTTTGGCCAGCTGAATGTCATGACTAGTTAGATTGTCAGGGCTGCCCCCAACCAACCAGTCAAAATCAAAACCATCTCCCTTTAAGGACTGTAGGAAAATCAGTAGGAGGATGTTTAATCCTTGTGTGTAACTGTGTCCTCTCTGCAGTTTGGAAAGGTGCTCTGGGAAAGTCCCATTCACTGCACACTCGAGGAATCATTGAACTGGCTGGAGCCATAACGTGTGGCACAGGACGGTCTCCCTTGGCTTATATTGGCTATGGGTGCTACTGTGGACTGGGAGGACGAGGTTGGCCTAAAGATAAAACAGACTGGTAAGAGAAACCTTGGCTATGTGTCCAGAAGCAGTGCAGATCTCCCTACTTTTCTCTGTTTGTGCTGCTGTGACTCCACTGACTCATTTGCTGCCTTGTGGGCAGGGAGCTTAGCATATATGAACATACTGGGGATTTGGGAGCGATGACCCATGTATCACTTGGGATTTGAATGAGGGCTTAACCTCCTTCTGGATGACACCAAAGCTCTTAGGACCTTGTAATATGTGGGGTAGAGGGCAAAGGAGAAACCAGGATGTAATTTTTTGAAATAGCTGTTAGTTTTTTCATAGAGAGCGCACCCTGCCTGACGAAAGGAGCGTAATCCAAGGTATTTGGAGGGTTATTTCACCCAAATCCTTAAAATGGAAGTGATGGAAATATCACTGTTTGTCCTCTTGAAGAAATCCATATAGTTGCGAGGAGTAATAAAACCTGTTGCCCTAATTGGCTGTTAGTTCCCACTGAATCAAGGCAGAGCAATAAGGGAGAGCATGGTGTTATCTCCCCTTTTCCTTGTTAGTGGGGAAGATGTTGGCCTTGTCATTCCCAACAAGTGTCGGAGGTATTGCATGCAATCAAAGGCTTCTTTCCTGTACTGTGCAATGAGCACAAGAGAGTAAATGAGAGTAAAGCTGAGGATAGTAGACTCTTGTTGCTCTGAGCCTGGTATTTGCAATCTTGCCAGGTTTGAAATATCAAAGTCAAAGCACACAAGTCTATCTACAGTCTCCAGACCCGGTGCTACTAGTAAGCAAGCTCTGCTTTTAGCAGGGGTGAAGGCAGTCTGCAGCTCACTGGGAAGGAAACTGAGCTTTCCAGAATACCTTGATGCTGGAGACATTGCAGGTTGCTACAAAACCAGATTTTGCTGAATTAGAATGACAGAAAAAAGGGACAGGAGGGAGTGAGGGAAGAAAAAGTGTCAAAGCTAAAGATCTCTGTGGGCATGAACAAGAAGACTAATGGAGCTGTCTTCATTAATGCAGTGAGATGTTTCACTCCCGAAGCCCTCTCATCATGTCCCTTTATTTGTCTGTGAAATATTTTATCTATGAAACAGTCAATATGGGCCTCACAAACGATGAGTAACTGCAATAATATCTCCTGACGTCCTTATCACAGCACTTACCTACAGCAGCGTATGTAGGGTGTTTAATTATTTCTGTTATCCTTTAACAAATTTCATAATAAAGCCTTGAAAGTAAAACATAACTTCACTAATTTGTAGCACTGCTTTTATTGAAGGGCTGAGCAGAGTGACTTAAAAGCTGTTTTCCATAGAGACTGAGTGACATCCAAATTTTTGTGACCCTAGGAGATGCAAGAAGTCATCACTCCTGAAAAAGAAGGAGTAAAAGATGGCCACATGTTCACCAGCCAGGGTTTCTGCTGTTGTTTAAATTGCCTGGAGTACTTAAGGATTTTATCCTAAAGGCAGAAAATGAGACTTTGCAAGTGGAAATGCCTCAAAATTATCAGATAGTTTGTAAAAGGGAAGCTTGATCCTCTAAGTACATTCATTGTTACTGTTTAGCTGCAATGCTTGGCTGCTGTAGAAAAACTTTAAAGTTTTATTTAGGTTCTTAGCTAGGAAGAATCAGCAGTGCCACACCAGATTTAGGCCTAAAAAAATCCATTTTCTGTTTGCTAGAGAAATATTGATATCTGTTACTAAGAACTACTGCCACGATTAGAGTGGTTGAGTACCCCACACCTGTCAAAGTGACCACATTATTTTCCCTATTTGCCATTCTAAAAAAGAAAGGGTGGCAAAACTACTGGCTGTGAGTGACAAATACTGTTTGAAAATTATTCACCTCCTTGACCTTCTAGGTTTTTTACGAAGACCCTTTCAAAAGGAGTAATTTTCTTGTGTGTAATTCAGTCAATCTGTCTAGACAGGGCTAGAGTGCTTCTAAGCACCTCTCTTTTATGTGAAAAAGAAAAAAAAGCCATTGAGTGGGTAATCCTTTTATAAGGTTTATTCCACATACTGACTTTGATGTGGTGTTGTCACAAATTACCTTTTCCCTTTTGTTCCACTCTTCCACTCTCACAGTTCCATCACTTCAAGGCATAATGACATTTCTTCCACAAAGACTCAATCGATTTGTTTCTCCTTTCTGTTCCCCTGGATTGCTGCAGCACCTAGGCTATAAAGCAGGACCTAAGGGTGCTCAGCACTTCCTTGAAAACACCACGAAAGGCAGGGTGCATTCATGACTCATCTAAGTCACAGAATCCTTAAGGCTGGAAGAGATCTCTGTGATCATTGCATCCAACTGTTAAATCCTGGCCAACTGGTAGGGAAGAGTAAGATCTCTCCTCTGTCGCAAGATTAAAGCAAAATACACACAGCAGGGAGGGAGCTGTTGATGTGACAAAGACGACGTGACAAATTCCTACCTCCCTGGCATTTGCTCAACAGCAGGGCTCTGGCCAGCTGATCCCTGCAGGCCGGCGGAGCTGTCGGTAGCCACCAGGGCTGTCTCGTAGCCCAGCCGTGACCAGCAGGTTGTTGAGTACCCAGGTGGCACAGTTGTGTTTGTTTGCCATCGCTGATGACCAGTGCTGCTGGCCGCCTCTGTTTGTGTTGCTGTAACCGAATGTTAGCAGGTCATTAAAAGCTTAACACCACTCTGACCCAGGTGCTGCAAAGGGCATTTCCAGACCGGAGGGGACTATCTGAAGGAGGCAAAGGACAACAATAGCATTCCTTAGTCTTCATTCCTTGACAGTTCTTTCAGATGTTTGTAAATTAGGAGCTTTGTGTTGGAGTAAGCTACCTGTCACCCTGCTGCAGCTGTGGGGATCATCAGGAGGAATGCTGTAAGGGGAAGCAGAATTATGTCCCAGATCCTGTGGTTCTGCAGAGCTTATGTGACTTCCCCTAGTTTTGCCAAGCCAGATGAGCAGCGAGTTCTCACTGCTAGCTAGCACACCATTTGCTAGTGCAAATTTAGTGCTCATTTGCTTGTCCTTGCCTGATTCACAGAAAATCTTTTGCCCCCTACAGTATCTGTCCTCACTTCTCCTACCTCTCTTTCTCTTTGTTCCTTCTGGCTCTTCATAAAGCGCAATTTCTTTCCCTTGGCACACAGGGCCCTAACACCTCCCTCTGCTCGTCTATCTTCACATTGTTCTTCTTCCCCATACTCCCCCATTGCTGACTCATCAATTTGGCTACTGACTCACGCCCCAGACCTCACAGAGAGGTCCATATATGAGACACTAGGGATGGGCCTGCTCTGCTACCTATCATTCCCCTGAGGATGGATTAGGCTTTGCTGCAGCTTCAGGGCTTTTATGTTAAATCAGCCTGCCTCAATTTTTCCCAGTTAGTAGAGTGGTTTCTCTGTAGAGTCAGTTCTTGCAGGGATGTCTTCTGGAAATACAGGAGATCACTGTTTTCTGGCTCCAGCCTCTGACCTTGCATCCTTGCTGAAACAACCTTTGTTATTCAGCAGAGAACATCTCTAAGTGCTGAATCTTTTCTTGGTGGAATTTGAGTCCCTAAATTACAAGAATAAAATTCGAGTGAGGTCAAGTTTTCCATAAATTCAGAAGTAATTGACAGTGAGAATGATCTCACTGACTAGTCCATAGGACAAATGTCATCAGCTGAGCTATTCCTCCTCATTTCCTCTATGGTCAGTGAAACACAACTGCATTTTTCAAATCTGATGCTTTTCACCCTGTGTTAGATCTCTGCAGCACAAAAAAGTGAACTGTGGTGCAGATGTGCATAGAGAGAAGATAGGTGAATGCCTTAGATGTAGATGGTTTTTAAGGTTCTTAAGTTAACTCATAAGAATTTCACCATGGAGACTAATTAATTTGTTGCCTGCCTTCAGAACCCTTATGTGCCAAGGAGCACATGGCAGGTGAACTGAAGAGACTAAGTTTCTTGGTGATACTGAGGAAGGCAAGAAACACTCCAATTTCAAGTTTTGGGATGGGTCTAAGCCTAAGCCAGTGAGCTGCAATAGCACAATTTATAGGAACACTTCTGCTCCTTTTCAGCCAGATTACCATGTCTTGCTTTCACAATGCAATGTTGCTCTCACACATGCTTTCATGAGGGCAAAAGCTCAGAGGAAGAAGCGCAGTGGTCATGGGAGCAAATACGGCATTAATGAGCTCTTGAGACAAGCAAGCTTTCCCAGAGATGCCAGGATACTTGCATCATCTTCAGATGATTTACTGACAGGCTGGGGTGAACATTGCTGTCATGAGCTGTGTGTGAGCAAAGCTCCCCTGAAGCCTGTGCCAACAGGCAGGATGCAGAAGGACACCCATTCTCTCTCTTTCTGTGTCTCCCAGGTGCTGCCACAGGCATGACTGCTGCTATGACACGGCAGAGAAGGAAGGCTGCAACCCCAAGGTGCAGCGCTACCAGTGGGCGTGTGAGCAGAACATTGTGCGGTGTGGTAAGGAGAGGCTGGCTGCTGTCCTGGGCTCCCTCCCTCCCTCCTCTGCAGGCAGCAGGCTGACCACAGAGCTTTGGAGGCCCCACAGGCAGGTTTGGGTTTGCCAAGCTGGTTTCAAAGCTGCTTTAGGCAATGTCCGTTCTCTTCCAAGCTCCCTGCCTGCTCCTTGCGAAGAGCTGGGAGGAGAGCTGAGCCCCAGCACAGCCCATTCAGGTAACCTGAGATCCACCCAGGCTGAGGAGCAGGACTGGGGGCCATGGAGCCCCCAAACCATCTTAGCTGGACAGGGATGCTGATGACTCTCTGGAGACTTTCTGCTCACTGGCATTAAGCGTGCCTCTTCCTACAGCTGTGGGTCTTCAGGGGTGCTCTTTCCATTGCAGTTCTGGCCTTCCCTCCAGCAGGGCTGTCCACTTTTTACTACCCTTAAGCACTGCGAGAGAAGAGCCAGGCTATTTAGCATGGCTGCAAGATAGGTTAAATAGGATGCCATCCTGCACCTCTGCCCTGTTTGGGGCTCCAGCCTGAAGTCTTGGGGTTCCAGCAGGGATTTGGAACCATGCAGAATCAAATGCTCTCAAGTGCTTCAGGCAGACAGCAAGTGTGGGCTGTGCTCAGCTCTACAGCTTGTACCCAGTCAAGAGGGTTTGAATTACACAGTCACAGCCCATCAGTGTCTCGCACAGTTTGTTTTGACATACACCAGATGACTTGAATCTTAGAATTTGTCACTTGTGCTTCTAAGTCTCCAGAAAGCTCCTGGTAGTAAAATCCATTGTAGAAGACTTTGAAAGTTTGAAAAGAAATCGTGAGAGTAAAACTTATCCCCATAATCATCAAAGTGACTTGCTGGAACATTAAAAGACTATTTCTACCTTATCAGAAAACCATATTTTACTGGTGCAATCCTCAGCTTCACCAGCAGCTGAAGATCTGCCAGCAGATAGGGGATGGGACACAGCACATCTGCAGCTGCTCTTTTCCTAGTTCCAGAACAATCCAGTAAATACAAAGTCCTGGCAAAGGAATGTGTCGCTTTAATGTACAACTGCTCTCCCTCCTGCCATATTTCCATAGCTGACTGATATTTTCTGCTAGTCATTTTACAGGGGAAAAGTCCTGTTTCTCTTTGCTGTGAAGGAACAATCCAAGTTGCAGATATGAGATGTATCATTCAGTCCATGGCAGTGGACATAGGAGTGCAGCAGGCTGCAGTTGCTCTGACTTGGCCAACAAGCATGAGTTAAACAAATGTCATTAATTCCTTAACTGATGTCCAGGCAAGACCTGATGCATCCATCAGCTGTTCTCCACAAGCCCTCAGCAGGCTACACTCCCCCTGATATCCCTGGTGAGGAGGAACAATAGAAATGTGTTTTGAAGGGAAATTTCCTACCCCAGGCTACAGCACTGGCAGGTCTTACTGGGATGTGAAGGTATAATGTCTGATCCCATTAAAACAAAAGAGATGAAGAATTAAATTTCCAGGCATGCTTGCTGAGCTCAGGGTAATGATGTCCGGAAGTGTTAGAAGCAGAACTGTTTGCACTGTCATTTCAATGCAACAGGAATTAGATGCCTGCTGCCTGACACTGTACCATAAATAGAGACATTTTCATGTAAAATAAACAGAAACTCATTTTACTTGGTATTTCTCCTCTTTTTGCTACCATTAGGTAGTTTTGTTCGTGAAATGAAAAAAACTGGCAAAACTATATTCTTCAGTCTAGATATGCCATCACCTGTAGGCAAATTCCATTTAATAGATATCTGGAATATTGAAAAGGCTGTTAGTTGTGGGGTCTGGTAAAAAAAAAAAAATCATTCCTCTTGAACAAATGTTACAAATCCAGACTTTTGTACTCACATTTGAGGAACAGTTGCTGGCCTCATTGACCCTTAAAACACTTTTAGCAGTAAATACGTGATTATTCTGAGCAACTTATGAAACTAGGGCTTTTCTTATTTTTCTGATACAGGGCTGATCCATCAAAGTCCAGTGAAATCTGAAAAAATTCCTATACTCATTCCAATTGGTTTTGGAGTGAAGCCCATGTGCACTGGCACATTAAACTTTGCCTAGTGCAGGGTTTTGTGGCTGTTAGATAATCCATGGTAGCAGCCTCTAAGAAGCAAGGTACTGTGCTTTAAAATAATATTAACCCAACAACTGCATTTAACCCACCTATAGGTGGGATAAGGTTCATTAACCCAAACTCAGTCATTTGCAATGTAGCCTTCTAAGCTAGTGGCTTTGATGTTATTTAGGCCATGTAGTCATATATTTGCATTCCTGTATAGTTCCATGTATGACTTTGATCACTTTGTTAGCTGCTAGCTCATAAAAATCAGGTACCTGGCCCTGCTGCAAAGCTCCTTGGCTCCTCTGCTGTGATCAGAGAGAGACAGCAGCAGCTGGTACAGCAAGAGTGAAGGATGCCTGGTGGGTGCTCTGACACCCTCAGGTTTCTGAACATCCCTCTGGGAGGCTCCTTCTTTCAAAGTAGTGGTTTTTTTCTTTTGAAATCAGTCTGTTTTGCAGAGGGAGGAGTTAGAAGGGAAATTCACTGACTGAGGAACAGTGGAATATTTTTACCTCAGGCTAAGATTAAATAATTTTCCTTTTCAGCTTTGACTACTGAATTAAATCCTCATAGTTCACAAAGTTCTAGAAGCAGGGAGTGCTCTGTGCTGAGCAGATTTTTATAAGCATTGCCAATCTACATTTAGCTGCTAATTTCTGATGCTCTTTCCCACAGTCAAGGTCAGATCTGTTGACAGAGAGGGCAGGGGAGGGTCAAATCCACCCACAACACAACATGTTGATCCTGCTGCCACAGCCTTTGATCCCCAAGGGCTGCTTTTTTCGGGGATTCTTCCCCCTAAGACTGTTTCTTGCCTTTGATACAGAATCTCTCAACCTTAGCTCACATTTTCTTTTGCAGATAACCTGACAGACCGATGTGAAAAAATGGTGTGCCTGTGTGACCAAGAAGCAGCCAAGTGCTGGGGAGCAGCCCCATACAATCCTCACTTCATCCTCTGGCCAGACTTTTTATGTGGACAGACTCATCCCACCTGCCATGTCAGATATGGGGGGCCAGAATAGTCTTTTTAGGACCTTTCTTCAAACAATTTGAACTTGAAGGTAGTGGAATAAAAATTTTCCTCATTTTCCAGATCTAACAATGGTGTGAGAGAATTTCTATTGGTCCAGGATTTATGGGGAGGAGAGACAGACAGAAAGGTGCGGTGGTGGAGTTTCCTCTCTGTGAGAGAGCACTTGGAACGTATCGAGCTCTGTCTTTGGGTGGACAACAAGCAAGTCAAGATCTCATGGGTAAGGAAAAAAAGGCAGACTAATAGAGGTAACACTGTTGTGGATGTTTGCTGCAGGCTACCTCATGCAGGAGAAAGTGCATGAGGTCTTCTACAGACAGCTTGAAGCAGCCTCACAGTCACAGGCCCTGGTTCTGGTGGGGGACTTTAACTACTCTGACACCCGCTGGAGAAACAACAGGTGACAAAAGTGATTAAGGGTCTGGAGTATCTCTCTTATGAGGAAAGGCTGAGGGAGCTGGGTCTGTTCAGCCTTGAGAAGAGATGACTGAGAGGAGATCTCATCAGTGTCTATGAATAACTGAAGGGAGGGTGTCAGGCTCTGCTCGGTGGTGCCAAGCAATGGAACAAGAAGGCATTGAGTAGAAACTGATGCACAAGAAGTTTTACCTGAACAGGAGGAACAACTTCTTTAATGTGCAGGTGACCGAGCACTGGAACAGGTTGCTCAGAGAGGTTGTGGAGTGTCCCTCACTGGAGATATTCCAGACCTGTTTGGACACAATCCTCTGCCATGTGCTGTGAAATGACCCTGCCTGAGCAGTGATGTTGGACCAGATGATCCACTCTGCCCCTTCCAACTTACCCAGCCTGTGATTCTGTGACAGGTAACATATATGATAAAGCAAAGGGAAGATTCTGCTCTGATCATGCTTTTGCAGAAACAGAGGGTTTGGTCTGTGGTGCAGTGAGAACACATCTCCTGTCACCAAATAGCACTTTGTTTTTTTTTAATCACAGACTCATAGGGTAGTTTGGGTTGGAAGGAGCCTTTAAAGATCATTTAGTTTCAATCTCTGTGCAGTGAGCAGGAACACCTTTAATCAGACCAGATTGCTAAGAACCCAGTTGTCTTATCCCTCATGCTGCTGCATCACAGCACTGGAGACACTTTAGAGCTGCATTCAGGGTAAGCAGAGTTACACTGGGCTATTGCAGTTGCAAGGTCAGCAAGAATTTCTGACTTCTGCTTACTAGAGGCATACCCACACTTTGCAAAAGAATATACTCAATGCTCCACAGGCCTCAGAGCTGATACACTGCTCTCTGATACATGTAGAGGAGGGTCTCCTCTGCATGAGGAGCAGCAGACCCAACGCAGGAATGATGTGCATTGACTCCACGATTGCAGGAGGCTGAACAAATGCTTTATTGAGCTACACTACACTATACGACACTACACTATACTATAGAAAAACCCATCACCCTTGCCAGACAGTCCAATATGCACATGGATCCAACTGGTCAATCAATCAAAACACCATCACCAGAGTCCAATTAGGAAATTGCTTTTTTGGTAAACAATCTCCATAACACATTCCACAGGAGCAGCAAGTGAAGATAATAATTGTTTTCTCTGAGCATTCTCACAGTTTCTCAGGAAAATCCTGGGAGAGAATTAAGTCTCTGTTCAGAGGATATGTGATTACCACAGTCTCCTATATTGGCATGTCCCCCAGTCACTTACTGCCTGGGAATCAATTCTTGTCACATCAGGAAACAGAGGCTGTGGAGAACATCAGTCATGTCAAGCAAATCTTTCATCTCTCCTTTTTTTTTTTTTTTAATAGTATTAAAGGCTTATATTCAAATGCTACATTTCCTTCTGGCAGGAGAAACCAAAATCCCATTCTTTCAGCCAGGAGTTGCTATGTACCAGTGGCCCCTCTTTGCACCTTTGTCACAAGCATTTAGGCTGGACAAGCCACCAGGACAAGAGCCTCTTTGGCAGGAGGCATGGACAGGTGGGAGCCGCTCCTGCATCCCCGGAAGCAATGCTTTTGATTTCCTCGGGGAGATGCTAGCACTACCTGGGCACCTGGAGCACCTAGGTAGTCTGGGCTCCTTCTGTCTGCTGAAACTCAGCTGACAAACTTTGAACTGCACCTTTAAAATAAGAACTAATGGCACAGAGAGACCCAGGGTGCTTCATCAGAGTCTGAATTCAGAGATACGTGGCCAAACTGAGTGGAGTTTTTGCAGGTGATAATATTCTTCACAAAAAGCTGTTTTGCTTCTTGCTGCAGGAGGATGGTAAATATGCCACTGGGGCTGACAAAGATGCAGGGAAAAAAAGCTTGCTAACAAAAACAAAAATGCCATAGTCAACATGTAGAGGGAAAGGCTTTTATTCCATTTAAAACTCCATTTTTTTGGCTTATGGGGCATCAGTTGTTGTTCCATCTGAAGGCTCTGCATATCCCAGCGACTCCTGCAATGCTGTACCTCAAGCTATGCTGAGCAAGAAGAAAAGGAGAGAGAATGAGTGAGCAACAGAGTCAGGACAACACAATAAACTCCTCCGAGGCTTTCTGGCAAAAGAAGTTGTGAATTCTTAATATAGAGCGTTTGCAGAGGGATGCTGCCGTGTGGACAGCATCACCCTATGGAAGGGAGTGCTGTTCCCAGCGAGGGCTGGAAGATCCTGCCCGGAGAGAGCTCCCGGCGTGTCCCTGTCCGTCAGGTGGCGGCAGCGCTCCAGGGAACTGCAGGCACAGCTCTGCCTTCAGCCCTTCAGGGAGGGGATTCTTTCATCAGGCTGAGCAATATTTCTGAGCGCCAGGAGAAGAGGTGCAAATCACACGTCTCCTCAATGAATGCAAAGAGTCAGCTGAGCTCGCTCTGAAACGCATACCACATCTTGGGTTGCTCAAAATGGGAACTAAACTTGTTTCAAAATGCAGTGTCAGTCTCCTCAAATTAGATCAGTTAGTTGACAGAATAGAAAAAAGTAGGCGAGCTTTTGGGTACATCAGCCTCTTATTGAGGCATTTCTTTGGCTCATGTATGGTGGAAATGCCTGGTTTTCCCAACATTATCAGCTGATCTAATAGAAGATAGGTCTTTAAGTAAGGCTTTATAAACCACACCTCACACACCTAAGCCATCATAGGTTTTCTGTACAAAAGCATTGCAAGAATACAGATGTAAGCACGAAATTGGCAGGAGGAAGAACCATCCTTCAGTATAAACATGAAAGAACTGAATGAATCCTTGGTCTTTGTTAAAAGAAGCTGCAGCATCTCATTGAAAACCTCTTAGTCCAAAGTGGCAATTAAAGAAGATCCTATTATTCTCTTTGTAGGTAACTCATTAGGCCCACTGGTAAAGCTCTACCCAACTTAAACAAAAACCTATTTGAAAAAGTGATGGAACACAGAACCAGCTCTGTTAGAGTTTTGTTCACACTGCTTATTTTCTGAATCAGATCCCATGTCTGACCTGAGGTAAGTAAATGCCTTATTTGTCTGTCAGTTAAAACACAGGTACCTTTGGTGAGACTCCTGTCTCATGCAGAGGACGCACTTCCTCAGCTGTGGGGTTAGAACAACGATCAGAACCACAATGCCTCCAATACCAGCTGCCACAACTCCAATGATTGTTCCAATGGATTCTTCTATTCCAAACAAGCCTGGGGGAGAAAGGAAGGCAGAGAGAGATGTGAAATGTTTCCCAAACAAGTATATGCAATGTAGCCAGCATCTTTTCTGCAGTGGCTGTAGAGGAAGCTGCTGACTATGATGATGCTGATGTCTTGTCTGACATGAAATCCCTTCTACACGGAAGAGTGACTTGCACTACAGAGCTACTGATTTTTTTCATTCCTGTGTAGGAACTCCTAAGCAGCATTCCTAAGCTGCTATGCTATCTGGTGCTTTAGGGACAGGGCAGCCCCATCATCCCAGAAATCTCCCTCAACAGCTAGACACTACGGGATGGTAAAAGAAGATGCTGCTTGAGTTAATGGGACTCAGGCCTGTACACTTTATTTTTGAAAGGAAAAAAATTATTCTGACAACTTCGGGAAAACCATTGGTCTGCCAATTTACTTGCAAGGGAGACAGCACCAGAGAGCAGAGACAGCTCCACTGGAGTCCTTTCTTTGCCTGGTTGCTCTTGGGACTGTTGCATGACAGAGATAGCATAGTGCTGAAATTATACATTTCATCATCTCAGGAACACAGGAAGGCAATTATGCTGGCCAGAGTGCAGACATTTCAAGAGTAACCTGTGCTACTGAGACTATGAGATCAAACCAACAGGAGACCTCATTAGACAAACGACCAAAGCCCTTGCAGAGGGGCACAGTTTGCTTGCTTTAGTGTTACAGTTTAAACTGAGTAATGTTATAAAAATTAGTAAATCAGGCTCAAGAGGCCAAAGGCTTAGCGAATCTTGATGAGATAGAAGCTTTGGTGATGAAAAAGAGGAAAATGGCACTTGCGTAATTTACTCTTGACACAGAAGGAGGCATTTTTTGTTAATTAGATAATAAGATAATAACCCTTCTAATGTGTTGACTTTTTGGGACTGGAATCTGTTTAGCCTACATAAAAGGAAAGTTTGACATTTCCAGCTGCTGCAGACATAGCAAGTTACCTCTTTACTCAATATGCCTGGTCTATATCTGTGGGGCTAAGAAAACATAGCATGGCACTTCTAATGCTACTTTAATGTGAATGAAGTTAATCAGAAATTATATAACGATCGTATTACATATGATCCTCGTGATTATCGTGGGATTACTTATGTCATTCAGAGTTCAGGAATGACTATGCAAGTTAGTGGGTTGGAGAGAAATAACATCAAAGGAAAGAGGTCTAGGGCTGTTCCTTGAGATGGTACCTTGTCACCTGTCACTCATGGGGGTTCTGGCAGAACTGTGAGTACAAGGGGAACTTGTCTGGCTGCTTCATTCTTTGCAGTGACTTTATTTTTATGGATAACATTACTCCTTTTTGTGGTGTAAATGCTCCTCCTTATAATAAT